TTTTTTTTTTTTTAACCTGCCTTCCCATCCAAAGGGGAGGAGGAGGTAAAGGCCAAACAGCAGGAAAAGGGGAGGGGGTCTCCCTCTCAGTGCCACACACTTTACAACAAACAGATCTTGTGAGAACTCTTATCATGAGACAGCACTAGGACGACGGTGCTAAACAATTAGAAGCCACCTCCGCTATCCAATCACCTCCCACTAGGTCCTGCCTCCAATACTGGGGATTACAATTCAACACCAGATTTGGGTGGGGACACAGAGTCAGACCATATCACTGTTTATTCTTGTTCCACCTGAGAATGTTCTGTCTTTGCAGGTTTAGGGTTATATCTCTGCCAAAGGGTTGTCCCTGGAATAGCCGCACTTGCCCTTGAGAAACTTAGAGAACTCATTCTATTCCACTCACCTGGAAAGAGTAAATGCTCTTCTGCCTTATAGCATTAAAGCTGTTTCCCCCGTGTATGTGTCTTACCTCTTTGACAGGGAAATGTCCCCATAGCAGGCATTCTTTGCCTACCTCTGTAGCTCCACCAGCCTCTCATAGGCCTTGCAGAAGCTACTTGTTAAATAGTTGATGAAAAAACGATGAAAACAGACTTCCACAATGGATGGAGACCTTTGTGCACTGTTTGGATTCCTAGCAATACCACTTTGCAGAACTTGGATACGGTTCATTTCCCCAAAAGTCTTCTCCAGGTGTGTGCCACCATGCTTGGCTATTTTTTTTTAATTTCGTAGCAACAGGGTTGTTGGAAACAGATGCTCAGTGCTGCAAAGAAAAAGCAGCACTGAGACAAAGCTCTCCCAACAAGGCAATTTTACCTTCTGCAGAAAGGGTGCTCCCATTAGCCATCTTGCCCCAAGAGTACAACTAACAAAGGAAAAGCAGACATATTTATCCTTTACGCATTTGGGGTCGTCCTTACTCCTGTGTCTGATCTCTGTTGATTGGAGCCAGACCTCACAATCTAAACTAACACCTGATTGGCTAACAACTTAAAACTTTTCTAAACAGGTAAAAGCAATGGAGAACAGAAGGAAAAGAGGAATTCCAAATAGGGAAGGGACAGGAAGTTGCTTGTGAAAGGACTTAGAAAAATACTAATATAAACACCTTGGTTAAAGTACAAGGAAGGGCTGGGCGCGGTGGCTCACGCCTGTAATCCCAGCACTTTGGGAGGCCGAGGCGGGTGGATCACGAGGTCAAGAGATCGAGACCATCCTGGTCAACACGGTGAAACCCCATCTCTACTAAAACTACCAAAAAAAATCAGCTGGGCATGGTGGCGCGTGCCTGTAGTCCCAGGTACTCAGGAGGCTGAGGCAGGAGAATTGCCTGAACCCAGGAGGCGGAGGATGCGGTGAGCC